GCAAGTTAAAGCTCGTCTGATTGTATAGCGTACCGTATACCTAAGAAAGTAAGAATTAAATAAAAGCCTCCTGACCTTGATCCTTGAGTTTTCACCGTATATCGAAATGAAACGTCCATGCACCCCTACAAATGACCACAAATCTGCAACACTGGATGATTAGGATACACACACTATGAAGTAGTTCACAGTCATGGCTGTTTGCCCAGTAGATAGCGATTCCGGCTGCTTGTCACAAGACTCGACCAGTCACCATGTAGTGAAAATAGAAACTTTTGATTACGCTTGCCAATCTGACCATCTTTACCAAGCCTGAGCTTATCCACACCTACATTTTTGTTAGTTTGTAGGAGAATTGCAACATATCTCAAGACTTAATGCATTATGAAACTGTCTTACAGCTCTTGCATAACCCCTCCCAGTGAGATAATCTCTTTTAAGGGCTGTATGGGTATGTGCAGACGCAAAGGGCATAGTTTTTGAGAGGTTTTGGTCTGAAAAAGGGCATAGATCTTCGCCATTTTGGTCTGAAATAGGGTATGCATTTCTCTCTCGCTTGACATTGGGTATTTTGTTTACAGGAAACTATAATTATCTTTTCCCGCATCAAGATTGGCAAATTTGTAGCCCTTCCCAAGCTAGTGTTTACGCAATTCTGGTCAGCTTTGGTCCATGATATAGTGCAAATTTTGGAAGTCTGAAATGGGCTATCGATTTTTCGCTCAAGTCTGAATTAGAGTATGGAAAATCCCTCGAAAAATCCCAGATTTTGGTCTGAAATAGGGAACAGGTTTAATGGTCACGGTTGCTGCTGCACAAACACACCCACAACATAAGTATGAGAATAAGGATGAACGTTTTCTCGTTGCCCCGTTGAAAAATTTCGAAATTTGCCGTCATCGGGTTGGACGTATGTTTGATTAAATTTTTAGGAAATATTCTGAAAGTATTCTTTAGCAAGGACGACAAGATAGTCGGATGGCAACTGTTTTTGTCTATAAATATAAGGTGGGAGACTTGGAACTTGTAATGGCCCGATTCTTCCTTAGTTCATATGTCCCTTTCGCAGGTATATCCTGGCTCTTCCCAGGAGACGAAATTACTTTTAATGTCGCCTTTCAGCTAGGCAAGGAAGAGACAATTTGGTCCTCCAAAGGAAGAGAAACTGATACTGGAAGAAACTGAGAAAATAACTCCATGTTCTCTTTCGATAACTTTATTCGGACCTAGAATTTCTCGGATCGAAATGCTTTACAAACTCGTCATTATCTATGATATATACGCAACAATTCCTCATGGCCTTTGAGGATAATATCATCAATTTAAGGACTTCTTCATGCACTAGTTTTTCATCATTAATGCTAGCAAATTTCCAACTACTGGCTACACCTTTTAAGAAATAGGGGCACTGTCCAGAAACTGAATGGATTGCCGTCAACGACTACATAAAGTCAGTATCATCCAACTAGAAAACAAGGTCCTATTGACTAAGGCGATCGAGTTCACTGTTCGGGGATGCAACCATCAGGTCAATAAGCTGCCTCTCCTTATGCAAGAAATTATGTTCTTCACTGCTTGACTCACTTTGTCGCAGCCGCGCTGAGGTTGTCCTTTTGGTTCGTAAGGCCCTGGGTTTTCAATCAGGACTGCTCCTGCGGCAGGAAAATCAGCAGGAAACTTGATCTCCCACTTCTTTCTGTACGCTTTCTCGACGAACGACAACGAGATATCCTGACTTCTTGTGTCGCGAGTTATGTCCACATCTCCCATAGCAATTTCCTTAATACCCTGGAGTACTTTCTGGAAGTTTTTGCTTCCTTCGTCAGCCGAGTACCACTGTGGGACTGTAGTGATCGCTTCCTGAAACTGGGATGCCCCTGGAACTTGATGAGACAATTTTGGCTGCCCTTCCTGAGCCCACTGATATCGTAATGGATCATGGTAGTCACTCCTTGGCATTCGCTCCTGAAACGACTCCCTTTTATTAAATGGGTTCTTGCCCGGAAGCTTTTCCAGCCTTCCTCTTTCTTGCTGGGCGGTCTGGCGATTTAAGAGGAACGGAACTATGTCTGTCCTGCTGACATCGAGAACTAAAAATCTTGCGAGAGGTTCTCGTCCCCGAAGACGTTCTCTTGCTTGCATGTCATTGTGAGAGGAAGCTTTAACCGGTCGCCACTCGCCGATGTAACACACTCGGAACCCGTCGTACAATTCCCTAGCCGCTGCATCACGACTACTCTGACTGTGACTGAAGGACATTACACGGTGGATGACCGGGTTACCAGTGCTGGTCCACTGACCGAACAAACTTCCACCTCTCTGCTGCTGACTTGCGTGAGTTATCTCCTGTTTAGTGAGTCTGTCATAGTCCTCTTGGAAAATATAAGCAGTGAAGGCCATGTTTGTTGCGAGAAATATCTTCGCTTCCTTCTCTGAATACGAAAGAAACTGACTTCGTTTTGAGACAATAGCGAGCAAACCTTGACTATTTTCCCAAAAACGCTGCCACACTCGAGGCGACGATCAAAGGTTTTTGCAACAACGAAAGCGAAGTTTTGGTAATTGTTTACGTCTTTCCAAGAAATCGAAAATGACGCGTTCTCCAGCGGGGAATTTTGACAGTTTGTTCCGTCTTTTCTTGGAAGCGTGACTGACTTCAAGTAATGTTTAGTATGCAAAACCAGTCAACCGAAAACGAAAACATTTCCGAGAATTTCCTGAATAAATAATGAGATAAAACAAATTAAATATGAATAAATTTCAAAATTATGCGCTCGATGATTTGATTGTCACAGTTATTTTTTATTTTATTTTTTTTATTTTTTTGTTTTCCAGGCGGAATGTTTAGACTGTTTATATGAACCACACGCACTTTTGATCATCGGCCGATCGAAGATCGAAACGCAGTGATTTATAGTTTTGCGTGACAGAAAGATAAGCCAGCCTTGACAGTCTGTTTTAAAAGCTGAGTCCGGGGTTATTAGAGGTGAGCGCTACTAGTGAAATGGCATGTTCTGTCTATCACAACCCACTTCGTGACACCACACGGCTCTTGATTGATTGATCGGTTAATTGATTGACATCGGCGTTGAATGAAACAACAGATTGTTACGCCAAGGGACGCTGTTAAAACACCCGGTTTGCAACATATTGTGTTCGTTTTCCATCTTCTCGATATGGTCTCACGGGATGAAAGGTGTTTTATTGTTGCAATCCATGCAAACGATATAAAAAAGATTGTTAGCTGGGTTTTGAAACATCCAGCTGAAGAAACCGGCGGAGATTTATTTGGTACCTGGGAAGAGGCTCACGAAGGCTTAGATAACACACTGAATATTAAGTACGTTATTGGACCCGGCGAACTTTGTCGCCGAACTACGTTTTCTTTTCATCAGGATGTTCGATACGCGAGTAAAATGGAGATTTATCTTAATGATCATCGTGGCATGGAACATGTTGCACTTTGGCATTCACACCAGAATTCCTTGGATCAACCGAGTACCGAGGATGAAAACATGGTCTGGAACACAATGCCTTCTCATGACATCAATAGATTTGTCCTTATGATTGCTAAAATCACAGAAAGAAGCAGCGAGCGTGTTTCAGTGGCCTTGAAGTGTTTCTTGTTTCAGATTGATCAGAAAACCGACGAACGTTTGCCGGTTCTCCTCGGGAAATTTCGCGTCGTGTCCGTCGATCAAAACGAGGCGGACCGTAACGACATACAAAGAGTTGAGTTAGAAGGAGCAGAATGTTTAATCACTGAAAAAGAATTTGCATCTTTTGATATAACTGAAACAGAAACAAGCGTTATAGGTTGCAGAAAAAATTGAACGCAATCCGGGGGGAGGGATACTCCACATAATGGCCTATTCGAGAACTTTTCCTCCGGAAGGGGTACTTTTTTTCAGGCTTCAGGAATATAAAAGGGTAGGGATTTCAAGGGTTGAGGTATATAAAAGGTAGGGAAATCTGTAGTTATTTAAAAGGGTTTATAAATAAAATGTTTCGAACCGACGTCCCTTATGGCTCTATCATTTAATTTACTAAGCACTGCATTAAAATCGCAAAATAGGTTCCTTTTTTGGCGATTTATTCTTAATAAGGGCCGGTTATGAAGGTATGTGAAAGGGGTACCTATTTCTATTAAAGGTATATGAATGGGGTACCTTTTCTGCCAAAATGACATACAAAAGGTAATGGGTTGGAGCCTTCCCGTATAAAACTTTGTAGAGTACCCTTTCTCCTCCGGAACCCAATAAAGTGATGCCTGAAGCTGTGCGCAAGTAACGCAACGTGACACCCTTTCACCAGTTTTGTCATACGCTATTCTGGGCTATTGCATGAAAAGATCTGGATGGGAGGGAAGGGGGAAGGGGCTGATGACAAGCCGCTCTCTCGGTTAACTTTTCTCGCTTCCATTTCAATATAATTTACCATGCATGTGAGGCAACTTCGGGCAATTTTTCAGGGGCGGATCTAGGAGGAGGGTGCACGGGGTGCCCCCCCACCCGAAATGAAGCCTTCTTCTTCGTATTCGCTTTTAAAATTTGTTTACCACACCAGTCAGTTACGCCATTCCTTGGTGGTGCACCCCTCCTAAGAAAAATCCTGGATCCGCCCTTGTTTTTGTTGTTTCCTGCCGAAATATCAGTTGCCTCACATTCACGTTGGATTACATCGCAATGCAAATGAGAAACGTTGACCGTAAAAAGAGTTTTCCTCAGCTTCCATTATCTGTCAGCTGAAAAATGAAAAAAATACACGCTTTGAACCGATAGCTGAGATCTGCAAAATTTACTGAAAGCTCAGAAATGGGCGGAAATTTTGATTCATTGAATAGCTGAGTATCCAGACGATCCTCGTATACGGTGGCTGCACCCGCAGTGCTAGTGGTAGTCAAAACCGAGCTGTACGTCCTACCGAATCGACATGCTAATAGTCTTTTTCTTCGCGGGAAAAAAAAAATAAAGACAATGCTTAAGGAGATACTGGGACCTCTTCTAATGCTTAATTCGAGAATTTGGGGTTTAATTTGACTGAGAGGAATACACATATTTTGTTCCAAGTCTAGTTATCCTACATGGCGACAGCGATCAAAGAGCGAGTGCGACCCACTTTTGGCGCCAAATTATAAGCTAAGAGACACAAAATGTTCCATATTTTTCACTTCTTTCAATTTAATATGGTTTTTGGAATTATCAATCCCTTTTCGTGAATTTTAATGTCGTCTCCAGGAAGAAAAAAATGTCTGACTTCTATCCCTTTCCTGTTAGCGTGAGGACAGTACAGTTTTTCCTGCCCTGCATGCTCAAAAAAATCGCGCAGAGCGTACTTTAGTGAGCGAGCAATGGTTGCTCGAGTGCGTTTAAAATCTTGGTACATTTTTTCCCAAGGGGTGACTCCCACGTATAAAGGACGGGGTACTCGTCTGAAATTTTAAAAAAAAATCCCTAAGAGGTACCAAGACTCTGTTTTGTGGGTGTGGCTTGAAATTATTTCGCCCGTAAGCGGTACCAATTCTACAACAACACTTTTAGGCTCCTGTCATATTTTCCTTGGCCCAATACCTTAAAAGGTAATGCAAAAGCTCCCGCTGTGGACCCCCGAGGCTCAACACCCTAAGAGGCATCAAAACCTCTTTTTTAACCCCTGAAAGGTACGACGAGCACCCCCCCTTTTTTTATTTATTTATTTTGGGAGTTCCCCAGGGCATATTTTTTAAGCCATCTTCTGTGAAATGACACGGTGAAATGACGAATTTCGACGTACATGCATCTAACGACTGTCTTTACATGCTGAACTGAGGAGAGCGATAAAACCGATAGGTGAAATTCTAATAAGTAGAATATGAATTAGTTTTCCAGTCGACGTTCTCGGCAAGGCGGTCTTGGTTACACATTAACTTTATTATAGCCAGCTCAGTCTTGACTGAAGAACAGGTACCCCCAATCTTTAGCAGTCAGAAAAAGAGAACTTCGTCAATTTGAAAATGTTTAATAAATTGTCCAGCAAAGTCTAGAAAAAAATGGAGTGAAACATGTACAACTCTTGTATGTGACATTTACAGTAGAATCGCATAGCTCAGAGAACTCGCACCCATATTGGTTACCCTAGGCGAGGTATTCAGCGTGGAATTGCGACTCTTGAAAGCGAGGCGCGTTGAATATTGCAACATTCACACAGACAAAAATGAAACGGGGCTATGCGATTCGTGCGATATCGGTTTTTTTCGCGTGAAATTTAACGTGGAATTCACGAGTCAGGTAATGAACTTTCCTGTAGAATATGTACTTCAAAAGCACACACTGTGATAAGAACTAGAAAATTTCAAATTTCTAACATTTCCACCGTGAAAAAAATCTACTTCCAGGTTTAGATCTGGTGAATTCACCAAAGAGGCATAAACCGAAAACAAACAAGAATGTGGGATAAGTAAACAATAGCCTCCATTTGGCGCGAAAAGAAGGTATATAAAATGTTTAAAACCGTAGCTTCCATTTGGAGCGAAAATATGCTCGGATATTTGTCCGCAAACATTATCTGTTCCGAGAAGCGAACAGTTTGATCTTAGAGGAACGGATAATGGCTTTATCCTTCAAATATTTATCGCAACACGCAGGATTTGAAAATTGGGGAATATCACTCGAATATTCCCCCAGTTGTAGCTGGGGTATGATTCAGTCACGTAACGCGTTTAGAGCAATTGCGCGCGAGCGAAAATATTTGATGGATTATAAGCTCGGATATTTACCCGCGGACATTATCTGTTTCGAGAAGCGAACAGTTTTCCTAGAGTAAAGCTCGAGTAAAACTGTGAGCTTCGAGGAACAGAGAACTGTCCAAGAACAAATATCCGAGCACATTTCAAAAGCTAAATGGAGGCTATTGTGTTTATTATCCTTCAAATATTTTTCGAAACACGCGCAGTTTTTCAAAACTGGAGAATATTCAGTCACATGACGCGTTTAGACCAATCGGGCAGTAGCGACAATATTTGATGGATGACAAAGGTGGCTGATAAACGCGTGACGGCGGCGAAGATTGACGTAACGTATTTAGCTGTTTCATGGCGTCCTACAAAAAGCGACAATACCAACAGATATCATGGCCGGGTAGTCGCAATTTTCCACTGATTGATTAAAGCGTGAAGAAAGGAGAAGCCATTGATACACATATGCATGCTTTCCTCTTCAATTAAACTGGAGCATCATAAACTTAACGGAAAACTTCCCCCACCCCCCAGCCCCATCCCCTTCACGCGTATAACCCTTACAAATAACTGAAAGTTAATTACTGTCAAGTCGGTGCTATTCAGGCTAACCTAATTGATATCCAGGCTTGTAGGTCTAACAAGAGTGCTGTTAACCAGAGCACTATTAAGGCCTACCACAGTCTAACCGGAGTGCTAATTAGACTAGCTGTTTCCCATTACGTCATTCAGTTTTACTAACAACCTAAAGGAAACATCATGTTAAGGCTTATTATTTTTTAAGTTGCGCAATTCTTTACGCGCATCCGTAAATAACAATAATTTTCTTCTGTAATTGCAGTTTGAGTTCCATATGTTGTGGACATTTGTCAGAGAGCTAAATAAAAGCTAGAACATCAAGGGTTAGTTTATCAGCGACTAGTTTTCCGCCTTAAAGAAGATCAAAACTAAGCCTTAACGTCAAATCTATTTCTTCGGCATAAGGTGCAAGACAAGTGATGATTGTGTATAACGTCCACTACATCAAGACGTTTAATATGAAGAAGCATCTGCTCAAATTCCTTCAGCTTCATTCCCGGATGCAGAGCCCTGAGCTTTTCCAAGACGCGCTCAGCAGGGTTTGAATTAGCTTCGTATTCCTTCATCCCAGATTCCACTCGTCCAAGAATAGCTAATTCTTTATAACTTCTGTCTAGCTCTTTGCAAATATCTTCCTTCAGGCACAGTCTCTCTCTGTTTATGAGTTTAAAAAATGAGTCATCTGGTAGAGGACTACACGCTGTTGAATAAAGGAAACAGACAAAGCTATCATTAGTTCACGAAGCTACTGTCGGTAGCTACACCAGCGCCACAGTGCTCTTTTGGGTGATTTCTAAATGAGTATCATTTTCTCTACAAGAACTATTTTCTCCTCCGGGAACCAGTCACAACAAATATGGTGACGACCAGTGAACAACAAATACCATGCGCCATGGTAGCTCAAGTTGACTGAGCACGGCCCAGAGGAGGGGGTACTCTACGGAGCTCCACGCTCCGCCCCGAGATCCAATCCTTTAATTTCCCCTTTTTGTACACCATTTTGACAGAAAAGGTATCCTGTTCACATACTTTCACAACTGACCCGTATTATGAATAAATGCGTTCAAAAAGGAAATCTTAATTCTTGTCATTTTCATGTTGTGCCTAATAAATGGGGTGCGTTTGCTCGAAAAATTTTAATTAAAGGCTATTTAAAATAACGAAATGACAAACTAACTTGCCCTTTTTTTCCTACCCTTCTGTACGCCTGAAGCCTGAGAAAAGTTCCCCTTTCGGGTGGAGCCTCCCCGTATACTCCATTATAGGGAGTACCCCTCCCTCCGTTGAGCGTTGACGGTTAGCTCCTCGCCCCTCACCCCTCATTCGTTGGGTTGGTTCGGTTCAGTATAGCGGAAAGACGGAAATCACGTCATATGCGAAGAAAATAACGTTACGTACCTGGGCAGCGATGCTCGACGTCTTCGTCACGTTTAATTGGTCGATACTTACATGGACGCCGGGTGTTTACTGAAAGAGAAACAGTTATAAGAAACTGGTAATGGAACAGAGTGGAGTCCTATTCGTTTTGAAATCATAGAAACAATTAACAACATCTTACAAACGCCAACTTCGATTTGTGTTATCACGAATATGATTACACATAGAATCGGACGACACGAAGTCCTGTTAACAATTAATCACAACTTAAACAGAATTTGAAGAAAAAAAACTGAAAGTTAAATTTTTGGTAAAAAAAAAAGGGGTATTATTTTGTCTGCGAGATCCACAAGAGAAGGACTGCGCTATTCAAGTACAACCGTCAAATGGCAGCTCACGCAAATGACGCAAACTCTCCAATAACAAAAGCGTGACGCGGAAACCGTGCAATAAGTGCTCAAATAGCCAATCAGATTCGAGAATTTCTTTATACTTATGATGAAACACGTTGCAGGCTTCCCAATCTCTCCAATTTTCCTAGAGAGACTGCTACTCAAAACATGATCATTGCCAGCTGACTGCATAATTTGTCTCTCAAGGTCGTAAAGTAATAAAAAGGGTTTTGGATAGCATGACAGCCGGCTCTCATATGCTGTGGCACAAGCAAAGACGAAGCTGCGGGAGACGAGTCGGTGAGCGGAACTTGCACGAGAGCCTACCCACAGACTGGGTTTTGGGTAAATATAACTCACCAAGAGCTCACACCATGCATATGTAACAAGAGTAAACTGTTTAAGTGTTTACCTGCAACAGTCGCCTTCATTTTCAGATCTTCTATTCCATCCATCTTAATGTCAATCCCAACAGGGAACTCCGCGTCTTCATTGGTTGAGACTGGATGTACATCTTTCTCTTTGTCCGCAGCCTCCTTGCAACGGGCTTTCAGGGTCAATTCATGCTTGCATACACGAAGTATATCTTTGGTGGGGCTGAGGCTCTTTCTTTTCCCTGAAGGTTGACTGTTGCTTCTCTTCTGCCTTGCTGGGGAGCTGCTGTTGATATTTGTTGGTGCAATAGGTACGTCACGTTTCTCGTCGCACGCCTCGATACTTACAGGAATCTCTGAACATTCGTTACTCTGGTTAGAACTTTCCTGCTCATCGGAAAACTGGATTTGGATGCTTGGAAGATCAGGGGACTGCCCGCGGAGAGGAGTCACGCAAGACGATGACGAGGACGACATCACGCAACGATCTGGAGACCGCTGACGAGGAGTCGCACCAGGCGAAGATGAAGCTGAAGAAGTCACAAAGCAATTTTTAGGTGACACCCCATGACGAGGAGCTGGAATCTCGCAAGTTGAAGATGATGAAGCTGTCTCGCAATGATGCTCATGAGACCGTTCATCAGGAGTCACGCCTGATGAACTTGAGGATGAAGAAAGCGTGACACAATGACAATCTGGTGACAGTCCCCGTGGAGGAGTTGGAGTCACACAAGGAGAGCGCGAGGAAGACACCCCAGACGAAGTGGAATGACTTGGAGAACTCTTTCGGGTTGGCGAACGTCCGCTTTGTCTCTTGCCTTGAAAGTAATACTGCAGTTCGTTCGAAATTGTTTCGGATGAGGACGAACAGTGGGCTATTTTGTCGAGGGTTGGATCTAAAACACACAATGAAAAGAATAATCTTTTACTTAAAATTATACTTCTGAAACTAATTCCCTTAAATTGTTGAATGATCTGGATGTTGTCGTTTTACACTGGATAAAGATACTAGACAAAGCGTTTGATGCGAAGCCCAAACAAATAATCCTTTTCTCTGTATTGTTTGTTGTTGTCTTATTGTTATTATTGTTGTTGTTTTTTATGTGAGTTTGTTTGTTTTTCAATTTTTTTTCAATTGTTTTTTGTATTTGAGATGCNAATTAACCCAGTCAACCCAGACTTAAAAATTAAAGAATCTTTCAGTGGTTCCTTGATGTGAGAAACACCGCTACGTTTGAAATAGCATTTCTCCATAATAATCTCCATGCCTTTCCTGTAACGTTAGCACTGAGAATTTATTGCTTTATCAAGAGATTATTTGACTCCTCGCTAACGACTTTCTCCAGTAGATTCAATAGGTTATGAAGATCATGACCATCTTACGTTGTACTTGTATTATGGGTTCATCCTTTGGAAGTTCATTTGTTTGGGTTGATATTTGCGCCGTCGTTGTAGCATTCGCAGTAGTCACTGGAAGAGCCGCCGTTGTAATCTTCGGAGTGGTCAGCGGAGCTGTCACAGGCGCTTTAGTCAAGACAGGACGACAAACTCCGTGATATTCATACGTGCTGCAACAAGATAAGAAAGGGTCAGATCAAGAGCACGGAAGAACATAAAACAGACGAAAAATAAATTTCTTCCTAGAATCCATGGTCGATTCCTTTTTGGTCCCGACACAAGTTAAACTGAGGCAGACACATCTTCCGGACTGCAATAAAAGGGAGATGTTCAAAACCATATGGAAGACTGGTCAAATGGAGTAAAACTACAAATATCGCATCTAGACATAGCCTGCAAACACAGAATCTAGACAGTGTTCAGTCGGTTCTTANATTATTTAACTCTCTACTCCACCCTTTATATATTTTAGTTCTAAAGAATGATCATCAATGATGGGATGGGCTTAATAAACATGAGTGAAAAAAGTTTGCTTTTAGGGACGGACCATTATTTCTTGGGGGAAGAGGAGGACTGGGCAATTCTCAAAAAAAATTCCCGCACAGCAAAACGCGGCGGCCAAAAAAAAATCGTGCGAGGAGAGACTAGGGGAAAAACTTAGCAAGTGTTTTCTACTATCCAGGTCCCATTTTTGAAGTTAAAAAAAATCTGGCACAAGTTTCGCTCACCAAAAAAGTTATGCACAGCCTAAATGTGAGAAAAAAGTTTCATGCCCAAGAAAATTCCCCNGAGGAGGACTAGGCAATTCTCAAAAAAAATTCCTGCACAGCAAAACGCGGCGGCAAAAAAGATCGTGCGAGGAGAGACTAGGGGGAAAAACTTAGCAAGTGTTTTCTACTATCCAGGTCCCATTTTTGAAGTTAAAAAAAATTCATCAAAAAAATCATGCACAGCCTAAATATGAGAAAAAAGTTTCATGCCCAAGAAAATTCCCCAACCCCCTAAAAAAAGAATGGTCCGTCTTTTAATCTGTCACGGATCGTACCCTTGTGGACATTCACAGACTGTGTTACTGGTCAGGGTACATTCCTTTTTCTTTATTTTCCCGTTCTTGCACAATTGGCAGTTGTCACAAGCATCGCTTGACAGCTGTGCTTTAAATGTCACACCTTCCCAGCACTGCTCGCATTGTGCAGCCGACGTCCGTTCTCCTGCGTTGTTGTACCCACAGTTGGTCGTAAACTGTTTTCCTGGACCACAAGCCGGACATTCTACACAGCCTGTTCCTTTTTCATAGTATTTGTTCATACTACACATACCGCAGCTAGCCTGTCATAAACAAACACGTGAACAGTAATCAACGACTAACCTCTATTCGAAATACCGATATAAATTTAAGTCATGCGCGCGCAAATATTAAATTTTATACTTTTAAGGTGGCTCTTTATAGTTTTACGATCACACGCCGCGCTGAGGACGAAAGCTCAAGTAATCTGTACGCGCTCGAAAGAAAACGTCAGTGTTTTTGGATATTTTATGACGTCAACATAAGCACAAAAAGCAAAACTGACAGTGAATTTTCTCGCGTTTCCTTCGTTTGAAATTCCGTAAAATTTGGCATATTGGTAGTACTGAAATATTTCACTTTAGTCGGAGCTCTTTTTTCAGGGAAATCTATAAGACCAGGTTTTTTGAAACGGTTAAAGATATAAATTTGAAAAAATCGAAAAAACTGCCTTACAAACACTACTTTTTTTCGTGTTTAAAATTCGTATCCCGCTGGAAGCGATGTGCTGTAAAAAATTTTGGAAGATTTCACCGAAGGAAATTCAAGATAATCACAAATAAAGCCATAAAAACAGTAATAAAACACATTTGTTGGGGCATATATAATTCAAGACTAAAGCCCACAATTTTAACGGAGATGATAGCTAAACACTATTTAATCATTGGTTATTACATGTAATAAGTTTGAGAGGACTGGGTGTGAAAGCGAATGCAAAAACAGCATTCAAAACATTAACACGAAACGTTAAGTTCTAAAATCAAGGTTTTTATAACATGCGTTGTTTTGTTATGTTTCTGACCGCAGTTTGTTTTATATTTTTATTCAAAACGTAACACTTGCGCGCGCAACGGCATAAATGATTACCCTATATATGGAGCCACCTTAAAAGTAGAGTGACGCGTGCAGTTGTAAACGGCGTATTTACCCCGATGAAGTTTCAATAAACCATTTTTTTACCACATTTTCTACTAATCTCGCAATTTGACTGGCTAATTTGCCGTTGTCGATAAGAGTCCATGTGTCACGCTCTTGGTCACGCTCTCAAAAAAGAAACATTACGTTGATATTGTGGTAAAAAACAAATCGAATGTGGTTTAGCGTTGTCTGTACTCTTATCGACAACAACATGCGTCATCACAGCGGTCAAAATTTGTTTTGGACTCGTATTTACTCGAGGAGAGGAGAGGGAGCGAGAACTAGTTCCTCTGACATGCGCAATACTTGTTACTTGTTCACTCGCCTTGTGCTCGACTGCACGTTACTAGTTTTGTATCTCTGCCATTCCCGACAGAGTTAAGAATGCTGTAGGCAGTTGAAATATTGTGTTCATTTGTGCTAGTAGATAAAATTAAGGGATGTATAGGTCATAAAAATTCAAATAAGTCGATCACCAGAGACTAAAAAGAAGCAGATTATTAGCTAGCTAACTAGAACGAAAGGAACCTGGGGCTAAATTTTCTCAAAGAAGTGAAGAGTAGTTTTCATAAGAGGACGTTTGGTGGTTGCAAGTGATACTGCAGCCGTTAGTGCCAAATGTCAGAACTTGCGCAGCATGAACCTTTAAAATTATTAAAACTCAACAGAGATCGGCTAAAACCCTAAAAAGTGCTGGAACAGACATCAAAATGATCGGGAATTGAGTGATCTCAAGAAACAATAAAAATATTAATTCAAAAGATATAGTTACAATTTCTCTAGATAACAATCAAATATACATATAGCCCCTACGACGTTTAGCGACCACGTCAGCCAGAAACAAGGTAAGCGAAAAACGAGGTTTTACTGAAATATGAAATTCCTGAGTGCTTATTGTGCAACAAGTCCGCCCTTCATCAATAAAAATTTCAGTTTCAGTCGAAGTCAGCTAGAGGTCGTTGAAGAAAAGAGCGTGACACCGCTACTACAAAACATCAAAACCTTGAGAGCAGGTTCCGTTTTAGGCCTGACATGATCTAGGTCAGTGATAAATAATCATTTTCTACAAGTGAACAAATTAAATGAAAGATCATTTTCTGTTGGAAATAATTAAGGCCATAAAGCCATAGTGAAATTGATCACCAAGGAGAACATGTCTGATGGTGGAGCCAGGTTCTCCCAACTGGTAAATTGTTGGCGCGCGAACGAATGACTTGAACATGAAATTTCTGTCTGATAAAGGAAATCCTGTAATTAACTTTATTGAACGTGGAAACACTTCGGTTTCGGTGCATCTTACAGGACACACCAGCTAATTCTCAGTCAAATCACGAAAATAAAACACTAAAAAGTTATATTGTTGCAACTTATTTCTCTAACTAAGAATGAATCAGTATAAGCCCTGAGAACCTCAGCGAACATGTCAGCCAGAAACAGAGTGAGTGAAAAACAAAGTTGTCTGAAATATGAAATTCCTGAGTGCCTATTGTGTAATCTGCCCTTAATCAGTGAAAATTTCAGTTTCAGTCGGGATCAGCTGGAGGTCGTTGAGGAGTGCAGCCACTGAAATATGAATTGTCAGAAAAAGCCGCGCGCATGAAAATAAATAAATAGTCACACTGAACAAATATTCCGAATCGTCGGCTAAAAAAAAACATCATCTTAATGATAAATTGTTCACGTCATTTAAAATATCGGCGTTACGTATTTAAGTTAAAGTCCTGGAGAATATTGCAATTGGTCGCCCCCCAAATGAAACTGTTGGTAGAACCAGATTCTCCTAACTACATGTGGTATGGTATAATATGCAAATAGTGTTGTTGCACGTGGTAGAATGGCTAATAACACAATAATTCCGACAGTACTTGGTTTGAAAAAGAAACTAAATTAAACGATAGTCCAAAAATCCGACAAACATGACTCCTAAAAACAGATTTAGCAAAAATTAGCATCTTTCTGAGACAAGAATGGCAAATTCAAACTTGTCTTGATTGAATATTACTAGCCCGGTGCTTTTTTGGTTCTACTATATTGATCTCAGTGACACAACAACGACAGCTTTTAGCTAGTGAACCTAATATTACGAGAAAAAGACTGTTATGCGTGAAATACAATGTTTCCCTTTAAAAACTGTGTCAGCAGCCACTTTGCAGTTCTTTAAAAACTTTTTTCGCAGACTTTGCTAAATATAAACCAACTGAACTATGTACCCTGCGCATTAAGAAATATCCATCGTAGTTAAACTTAAAATGCTACAAGTTCCATATCAACAATATTACGAAAATCTTGCAAACTAAAAATTATTTTACCTGTTACCCGCTTCCCCTAAAAATATAAAATGTACTTACATCAGGGATGAACAGCGAGACAATGAGGACAATAAAGATGCTAATTTTCTCCATTTTCTGGTTATTGTACCCGCGGTATTTTGCAATTCACTATGTGAAAGAACAGGTGAAACTGAGCTCAGCTTATTGCGCGAGGCCGAGTTCTTCTGTCAAGAGAGAGATTGAACGAAATGAGATTACAATAACAGTCACTGCTGAACTATTCCCTTCCTTTTGGGTGTTAACTTTCGAAAGTTAAACTAAAAGAGGAAGTCATGTGAGTCTAGCATAATAACACTAAATTTAGTTCCTTGACCACTGTTCAGTTAATGTCCTGTAATACAATGAACGCAGACAGAGACGCGTGGGTTTTTCATCAACGTAACTCTTATAGCAGTCATAATTATGAATAGCTTCTCAAACGCGTCGCAGAGGCGTTTCAGGTCAGATTAAACACATGTCTCTTTTAGCGAATGACTTCCGGTGTTTGCTGACTTCCTTGAACGCATATTACGGGAAGCAGCCTTGTCTAAGGAGCGAAGAACAGCATTTATATAAAAGTTTAGAGATCGCTGTAAAACTAATCGCTTTTTGAGTCGTCGCTGAGTGTGTGTTTTTCCTTTTTCTTTCAGTATTGAAAACCGCAAAAAATCGACGAGATAGGCTGAGCGGACGTTTTACAGGTTGCTTCAAATTCTCTGTTAGAGGTCAACCGTGACTTGCCTCTTTCAGGAAAACATTTGCGTAAGCGACTAAGTGGGAATCCAAAATAGATCATCGTACGTAAAGAAGATATTAATAAATCAGTTCTGAGTGTTCATCAATAGATAAAATTTGTTTCCTCTTACTTCAAGAAACCGAAGTTCTGACAGAAATCAACGAGTATCTACGAAACGTTTCCGAAAAACTTAAAACTGGACAGCTCGATCTTTCTCCGGACACCATTCAAGGCAGTAATTTATACCATCAGTTCAACGACCGACTAAACAACGGCAGAAAAGGAAAAAGCTACTTTTAGCTATTTCCTAGTTGGGTATTCTGTTCCTCCCAGCTAATTGTCAAACATTCCTTTTACGTTCACAATGTGTTCGCTGCTTTACTTTGAAAAGTAAATCCTGCTACTAATTTTCTAATTATAGTTTTTCTCAGAAATCTGCCTGGGCTAGCACTACACATCACCTTTCGAACAACCAATCGCCAGTGAGGTAAGGATCGGTTCACCTGAATCACTAGTTCCCCCTGGATCCCTCGCAAAACGGTCGGTGTAAAACATCAACTGACCGATAGCGGATGGGGTATAAACCGCGAACTGAACTGAACGGAGCAGAACCATCGCCGCCCACACAGTACTGGTGACTGAATCGGAGCACTTTGCTGAGGTTTCTTAAGTTACAAAAATGACCTGATAAGGGTCCATTACTCTGCATTATCGTCATTTTCAGTTTCGAAAGGAATCCTTCTGCTTATGTTGTTCGCTTTTACTTATGTTGGGGTAAACACGCGACAATTTCATCCGAACACCCATGGGAATTAAATTCTGTATTTAACGCAGGACCGATTTTCTCTATTTTGCTTTTTTATGTCTCGTTTCGTCTGCACATCGTTGTGTCAGCTGATTTTAATTAAAATATCGTGCTACATAAATATTGTTGTTTATGCGCTTTTATTGAGGAATATCTACCATACCGTCACTCATAGTTATGGAAAAACCAACGACGACGTCAGCGACGCAATTATTTTGTTTGAGAGGCAAAAAAAATGTTACCCATGTTAAGACCATTTTCTCTACGCAAAATGTAAGCAACAAATTTAATTGCGTCCGAATATTTGAATATTTGGTTCCAATATTTTCCTACGCGTGTGTTTAAACTCCAGATATTAAGGTAATAAGTTAACTGAATCGCCATAGCCGAATTTGTTACTTTGAGGGTTCACTGACAAACTCATAAACTGAAATACATATGGTTAATTGTAGCATATTTTAGTTCCAAACTTTCATTTTATTTGACTATGAACAAAACTATTGCTCTAGAACAGATAGAAAATATATCACTCGTTTGACGTGTTTTATGATATAAAATTAAGAATGATTTCAGTATTTACCGTACCTGTGTGAGACCGACAAGATCGTGTGAATTTAAAATGCAACTCTGAAACGAAACTATTGAGACCGAAGACAAAGATTTATTTGTTACTTATTTGAGCATGACAGTATAGGTAAGTTCTTTTTCAACCCATTTCCCCCTCTTCACCTGTGTTTTTTTCCCATTAACAGCGAACAACGGTAAGGCGCACGAAGAAGGGGAAAGACGGGGTAATAACCTTTGGCGCCCACCTTGGCACTAGTCAAGCATTTTTAATTTCAATAAATTGGTAAGTTCACCTCCAGTAGTTCTGTTCCAGAGTGTAGCGGCTTCATTTAATGTGAACATCTTCTAAATAAAAGAGTATGACTGTACCAAACATTTCTTATATAGTCATATAAGCCAAACTCAGTTGAACAACAGCGCAAGGCAAGTTGGACTATAATAAACACAGCTGTATAACAATGACAGTATATTACGACTATACTAAAACTTCACACGGTTATTGAACGTTGCCATTAAAATTAGCGTACGTACGCATAGTGAATAACTGAAAGAAATCACCAGAAAAACCCACCGAGAAGGGTTACAAAAACCAATCGACAACTGTGATCTTTACCGTTTCAATATTGAAATAATAAGGTGGCCTGATCTGACCATTTTCAATTCTTTGGATGAACATCGAAGAAGCTGAAAATGCAGTCCTTTATACTTGAGAACAAAATCTTACATTCTATTATCGATAATTGCTACTTTATCTTTGACTAAAAGTTTACATCACTTTGGCCTTTTAGGTGTAGATATAGAAACTGTTCAGTTTTACTTTTTTTTTTGGTTTTCCGCTGTTAGACTTTTTCAAAGTCCATTTTTTGTTTACTGCGTTGGTTACTCGGGTTTAGCGACTTCGTTACTTTCTCAACTCGGCCTGAGAGGTTTTGTAGTGGCAAGTCTATTTTGCTGGGTATTCCTAGAATAATGAAGTAACTTGAACCTCTTTGATGGCATCGTGTTTGTCTCTGTCGCCTGCTCCAGGGGATTCCCCAAATCACGCGATCGCCAAGGAAAAATTGTATCAGTTCAATTTCCTTATGCTGCTGTTGATATTGCCCCGAAACAGTCTTCTATAAACTTCCGATGAAACGTCCCTGTTAGTTTCAAGTGAATGTCATTTCCCTTTTCTCTGGAAACACGTAGCGGAATAATACAAGTCCCTTTAAAATCATCCCACATCCGTCCTTTGGGCGCCGTTTTGCAAACTCGATGGCAAGCTAAAATGTTGCTGCATTTCCTCCCTCTGTTTGTTTCATTTCTACGCGTTCACACGTGTATAGCAGGGGCAAATGCAAATTTCAGAAATGTTCACACACGCGTGCTTTACACGAGTGATCAGAGCTTGCGCTTGCGCGCGGAGATGTCCTCTCTCGAGAAAGTGAAATAGACGAATCAGCTAGGATGCCATGTGATCCACTCCTGGGCTGTTGTTGGGGTAACATAAAAATAAATCCGCTAGTTCTCTGACTGACGTCATAGGTGCGAATCGTCTTTGTGCGTCTTGTTTACACTCAAATTAGAAAGATGAAGGCTTGGGATGGAAAAACGGGATGATCTGACAGACACACAATCCAGTGCAGTGTCTGTCTGGTCGTCCAGCATGATCGCGTCGATTTGACTCATTATTGTGCTGGCGTGACGAATCATTGGCTTGCTCGCTTTTCTTGTTTTCAATCTGCAAGACGTAAAGCCAACAACAGCGTTTCTGAATCGTGACCGTGAGGCCCGTCCACACTGTACTACGCCAAAGGAATTTCAAAACGCCGCTTTATTTCTACGGTTAGGCCTACCGTTAGTCTCCTCCGCAGCCGTTATTAGGGTAGTCACGCAACGCTTCTCCCCCACTAGTGGGGGAGAAGCGTTGCGTGACGACCCTAATAACGGCTGCGAAGGAGACTAGCCTACCGTCCACACTAATCCGTCACGAAAACGAGGCTTTTCGTAAACGATGACATCACGACAATACTGTGATTTCCCTGTCCGAGTTTTACTCAGCCACAAATATAAAATGACCGGTACTTATTGCGCTTTCAAATTCCTCCGGCGTAGTGTGGACTGGGCCTGAGAAATGCGTGCACTTTTGGAAAACCAGTGTCGCTACGAGATTGGTGTGAAACGTTGAACGCATAGCAAAGCTTTGGAAATTTGTAATTGCACTCAGTCCCGTACTCTCACTACCGTCTAATGGTGCCCCCTCTGAGAGGGTCTCAATGGGGCAGTGGCTTTTACGGCTAACGGTTAATTTTTGAGCATTTTTATGCCTAACGGTTAAATTTTTGGCCCTTTTACTGCTAAAGGTTAATTTTCTCCTGTTACGGTTAACTGAAATTTCAATGATTAGTTACCATTGTCTTACAATATAATATAATAATTAACTGGAAATATAATTAAAATTGCCATTGGTGTGGAGCATGGCAAAATCATGAAAGAGAATACTATACGGAACATTCTCGGTTGACAAAAACTTAAAATTTATCTGTCTTCTGAGAAAGTATAAGAAACGTCGAAGTGTCGTCGGCTTTGAGGCCATAATAATTGGCCGGAGGCTCGCCATTATCTCCCGTCCGATAATTATCCAATAGATTGTTAGATAAAGTAGATTCATTTCGGGATTTTGTGAAATAATTAACCTTGCCTACCTGCAGACCAACAGTACCCCCGCCAGAAGTAAAAGTGTTACGGTTCCTACCACGGAACCAATGATAACTTTTGACTGAGCTGGCGTCGAGGAAACTTCCTTTGTCTTTGGGCCAGAATTTTCAGCTGTTGAAATAACTGAAATGAGAAATGAAGGAGGTAACTGAATTAAATTCAGTGCTTAAAACTCGCAATTCCATTCAATATATGAGCGCGCTTTCGATATGAGATGACAGATAGCCAACAAAGCGAGTAGCGCCGAGCTGGCTATTGTTTTATTGAAAACGCCCCCAAAATACAGAAAACTGAAATAAAATTTTAAAAAACGCAAAAATATTACGCGTACTTTTACCATATCTATAAAGCATGGTATAATCGCTCACATACCATGATGGCTAAGCCAATTGCATTATCCAAGGATCCAGTTTTCAATTATTTAAGACATCCTACATCTCACATCACACGCTTGTTGCTCTTACTTCGTTACCACGCGGAATTCCCTAATTTGTTCTTTGAAATGCAAGATAAATCAGTATAGCCGAACTCGTCTTTAACACGCTGGGCTTTAGCCCAATACCTTTCAGTGAACAAAGGAGACGTTGAGGGATTGATATAGCAGGGCTTGGAATCGCGAGGTGGAGTGTTTTATTAGCACAGGTTTGCTCTCTGCGCCTAAGTATTTGTACACCAGCTGAGTAAATGGATAGGAAAGCCCAGGAGCTCGACTAAAGGCGCAACTTCACGCGCACGAAACATACCTGAGCAGTTGTATCCATCGCCTGAGAAGCCAGTTTGGCAATGACAGACGAAAGAGTCGCTTAATTCTGTACAAAGAGCGTTCTTGTGGCATAAGAGACAGCTGTTAACAGGTTTACACTCGAGGCCATCTCCATGGAAACCCTTGAGGCATGCACACTTGAATGACCCTAGAGTGTTCCCACATGTAGCATTTTCGTCACACGGATTAACATCTAATGCGCATTCATTGATATCAGAACACTCCCAGCCATCTCCTGTGTAGCCTGGTAAACAAATACAGCTGTGCGAACCATTCGAGTTTACGCAGGAAGACTTGATATGGCACTTATCTACCCCGAGGTCACATTCGTTGATGTCGACGCAATCACTTCCATTTAATGTAAAACCTGATTTACAGGTACAGACAAAGGAACCGAATGTGTTTTTGCAAACCGCTTGGCCGTGACAAATTCCAGTTTCTTGGTGACATCCATCGAGTTCTGTACAGCTTGATCCATTTCCGGTTAAACCTAAATTCGGGCCTATCAGGCACTCGTCAACATCTTCACAGCTGGAGCCATTTCCGGTAAAACCTGTTCTACAAGTGCAGTTAAAAGATCCCGGAACGTTCAAGCAACTTGCATTTGAGTGACACCTGTCAAGCTGTAAAGAGCATTCATCGATGTCTGTGCAGTTGTATCCGTTACCATAGTAACCATGTTTACAGCTGCAGTTGTAAGAGCCAGCGGTGTTATGGCAGAGGGCATGCGTATGGCAGTCGTGTGAGCCCTGTGCGCACTCATCTTCATCCTGACAAACACTGTTATTAACAACAAAACCCGCTGAACAGTTACATCCGTATGACCCAGGCGTGTTGAAGCAATTCGCAGAAGTGTTGCATTTGTGGACGTTCAAGGCACACTCGTCTATATCACTGCAGTCATGCCCGTCACCGCTGAAACCTGCCTTGCAGACGCAAGTATATGGGCTTGACGTGTTGACGCAAGAGGCATTTGAGTGACAAATATTGCATTCATCTGCATCTAAACGGACGCGATAAAAGATAGAAATGGAAATTGTAACCTTTAGCTCTTATTAACCGAGCAGGAGGTCCGTATGGGAGAATCTTGACCGAGGTCCTGACCCGACCGAGGTCAATACTCGCCCACACAGACCGACTAAGCTCGGTTGATAAGATGTTTATTATATGGCAAACAAGACAAATTTGAATCGTTTAATGTAACTGGTTTGTACTAGCTGACATTTTGCTTGCGAATGGCGATGAACTGGACTTAAATTTGCCAAAGTTTTCTCGTCCTTTTTACTTGTTTTTTTTTTTTTTTTTTTTTTTNTTTTGTCTTTTAGTTTGCAACTCTTTCACCCCAAATTGTAACCGGTCTAGATGCCGCTCTAGATGGGAAAATCTAGACCACGGTCATGCAGCATCGATTTCAGCCAATCAAATTCGTGAATTCGGTAGTTCCCAGTCCTTGTGAGACAGCCATATAATAATTAACCTTGTTAGTGCAATCTGCACAGTATATAGGTCAACTGATAGGTCCTTTTAGCACAACCTGAAATCCGGCTATTCCACGAGATTTGAGTTCTGTGAAAAGACGCCAACTGGCAGATAGAATTTTGATAGAGACTTGTAGCGAGACAATTTAAGCAGAAATAAAAAACAAACCGCGGTAATAAACATGACGAAATAACGCATTCTGAAAAAACTCTGTCTAAACACTAAGGGCCTGCTTACAAGAAGAGAGGGTTACCCTAGCAAGCGGGTTACCCTAGCACTCACACATTTCCTATTTTTTCTCTTCGTCGTGTTTGCAAGGCAGCTAGCGTTACCCTGGCAGGCGGGTTAACCTGTTTCCTTGTAAACACTCCTACATCTTCAGAAGTGACGGTTAATAAACTCTACATAAATAATATCATGATGGCATTTGTGTTGTTGGGAAATAAGTATTGCTGTACCCTCTTTTCTTCTTCTTCTTTTTAAGGTAGATCTCTTACAAACCTTTAACGACCCGCTCAGCTAACAAACCTCCTCCTACCCCTGGAATCAATAGACCCACAGGTAGCCTCATTCGAATCTGTTTATTCAAAGTGCGAGCAACACTGAATTAAACTATGAAAAAGAAAACGTTTCGGTGATTAAGAAGGATGGTAAATTCTGGGGTTTTCTTCAAGCTCGGAGGTGAAATGAGGAAGACGTATGATGTTCAAAACAACAAAATTAACTTGTTAACTTCGTGGTCCATGTTACAAATGGCTACACACACAATCAGACGTATCGCAAAGGACTCTGGGTACGAGGGCTGTTCGTTATACTTGTTAACTTCGTGGTCTATGTTACAAATGGCTACACACACAATCAGACGTATCGCAAAGGACTCTGGGTACGAGGTCTGTTAGTTACACATACCTGCCCTGATGTTTGATAACACGCTACACGTAAGTAATATATTCCAAATAACAAAAAGTGACCATCTAAGACAGCGCATAACTTCAACACAACAAAACTAGGTTGTTGATAAGTGACAATGTCGTTGGGACATGCTTGGAATATCCTGCAGAAATAAACGAAACAAATAACAGCTGATAGGGTGTGAGTTGAGAATAATCTAATGGGGAGTTCAAGTAACCCTGAGGACAACGTCGATTAAAAGATGAATTTATATCTTACCTACGAATCTCGCGGTACCCTGAAGTCATTTACTTTGTTTATTACTGTCAAAACTATCACAAACTAATCCTGGAACACAGCCATAAATTTGAAATAAAAATTCAAAAAATTACCCGCCGTGGTTCACGTTCTCCAGACAACGCAGAATTTGGTCATTTCGCGTTGTTGTTTTGCAGGGGACGGCAAAGAAATGTACCAAGAATTATAACGCACTTGCACAGCCATTGTTCTGCTCATTAAACCTTTGTTTGCTGACGTTCCCGTTGCCGTTGTCGTCGTGGTTTTCTTAAACTCCCTAATATTAATTGATTTAAAGACGCTGTAACAAAGCAATTGGCCATTTTACAGTTGTCTGCTTAGGGCCTCTTCAAATGAGCCCGGTAACCGGGCTGGCTCGGTTACCGGGACGAATTTTATTGTCTGTTCATATGGGAAATTTCAGCCCGGTCGACCGGGATGAAATTCAAAAAACTGGTGCGACATAAAGTTGAATCGTTCACGGCTATCGTAGCTTTGTTGACTCTTGTAATTTTACTAATAAAGCCAATTCGCATACTTCTGAAGTGAAACGCATACAAGGCAAAAATAATGCCATTTTGGCCGCTGTGTTGCGAAAGCGAAGTTATTTTGTCAAAAAAGTTTCGTCCCGGTCACCCGGGGTAGAAAATTTTCATCCCGGTCGGTGAGATCTCGGTCGCAAAAACCGAGTTCTCGGTAACCGGGCCAGCTCGGCTTCTCATATGAACACATCGAAATTTGTGCGAACAAAAGAGTGGCCAGGCGAGATCTCGGAAACCGAGCCAGCCCGGCTGACCGGGTTCATATGAAGAGGCCCTTGGTGACCTAGCAAGGCAGGAGATGATCTGCGCACACAACTGTAAAATAGGCTTTTTACAAAACTGCAGAAATTCTCGCGCGTTCGATGTCTAATTTTCATTGTAAATATAAGCGGACATAATATGATTTCTGCCTTTTCGTTATTGTAAAAAAAACAAAAACAAAAACAAAAAAAACAAAACAAAACAAAACAAAACAAACAAATCGACGTCAGTTTTTCACGCGTGATGAATTTCGTCATGACATAGTGAACGTAGTCTGCGGATTCAAACCCACAGCTACTTTAACAATGTGACAACGAAATTTCTGATCAATAACAGGACGGACGGATGAAAAACTGACGTCAATTCGTTAAATTGAACAATGAGTCATGAAAGGCTTCAATGCTACAATTCTGTACTTGTAAAAGATTTAAAACCCACTATGTCGAACTAGTAGGTACGTACTTGATCGAAAAATTGTAGAGTGTAGTTGTTCACTTGAAAGTAGTAATAAAGGTAATTTACAATTATCGTGAATATTGATTTCGGTTTTGAAAAATTTTTAGTTTTTACAAATTATACGCTGTGAAACTTGAACAGTTTAATTGATCAGATATTTTAGACCTTGATTGATTATCATACGGAAGTGCCATGGGAGCTGCAATATCATGTTACGACAACCAGTGAAAGTAAGGTTCTCTAAAGTTGCTCTACGTCGAAAGAAGTTTTGAATATTATAGAGCATTTTCCTTTTTTCTCTCGAGTCACTCCACGAAGGCTATTCGCGCTTCCCACACTCCGAGCATCTTCCTGATCGACAATCTGAAGTCACAACTTATGGACTTAAGACTGTTTAAAACAAAACATGCCTACAGCTATCAACAACTTTAAAGTAGAAATAGATGACAGTTCAAGCGATCTGTCAGTCAATTTTCTCCTGCGCATCCTGTTAATGATAACATCGTATGGGGTCATGAGCCCTGGCATTAGATTTTAAAATTTCTCTTCCACACTTCTCCCTTCCCACCTCCACTGTTAATGTGATCACATTACACCTCTGTCCACAGTTTTCCCATGAATTTGCATGCATGATCAGCGTGTTTACAGCAACGAATGTAAGGTTCCTCGTCACGTTTTACCGAGATGTAATCGTCCGTGGATGGATTCTGCATGACCTGTGATCAGGCGTTCTTATTTTATGAAATAAAGAACGCTTGATGCAACTATTGGATGACTAACCTGTCAAGAGTCCAGACAAGACTTTCAAGTCCTAGCATCAAATCCACTTTTTAAAAGGGGTTTGCGCGAATAAAATTGCGTTACGATCGAGATAATCTTCTGGTCAATTCTAATATTCACCCTTACAAGTTCTGACATCGATGACTCGTCTAAAGATTGTATATAGGTAGTCACTTCTGTCACACAACGCTTCGCTCTCGCGGGAGAGTTGGGTGACAGAGAGAGGAACAGAACTGGACTAATTATTAAACGTGCGTACTAATGTATGTAATAAGAACGCCTGATCGTTAAGAATGCCTGATAGTAGATTAGTGTGTTAGAAGAATCCTGGTGCACGCTTTCATGACAAATTCTTTTGCCATTTTCCTTCCACCCCTTCTTCAACCCCGCAGCTCTTCTCCTTCCCCTACTAGAAAAATTCTCGATCTGCACGACATTCTTCTCAATCACCTTATCTCCGTTCCCCCAGGAAATCACACGATCGCAAGTAAAGGGCATCAAAGTTTGTAAAGCGGTTTACTTTGAGGTACGTACCGGGAGTACGTGCAGAAATACCTCGAGATCGTCTAAACTGATCTAAGGTCAAAATTATCATCGTGTGTGCTTTGGTCGTCCTCTTTTCCTTTTTTTTTTTTTCGGAGTCTTAAGATTTTCGGCAGAGGCGTCTGCGACACACACAAACATACAGTACTTCATTTGTGGTTATCAAAGAAACTGTTACATGCCGCTCTCAGCACTCTACGCGCTATCGTTCTGAAATTTCATTGCGTGTGATCTTACTGTCTACGGTGGAAATATAAAGTGTGAGTGAATTATCTTTGCATAACGACTGATAGTTTGATCAGACGCGGCTTGCCTGGCGAGGGAACCTAAGAAGCTCTAGGAGTGAGACCGTAAGATGACGCAAATTGACATGACTGAGCAGAACAAAACAAAAGCGTCTCTATACAGTCAATGTTATTAGAACAAATGCAAACCCTGCGAGATCCAATTCGGCAAGGATATCAAAACTTACCCAACACTGG